CCTGCTATCCTTTCACAGCCCTTAAACCCATTACTCCACTATTCATCTCTCAATTGAACTGTGCCACCGCTGTGTCTCTGCCTGTCTCCTGGTGGTTTTAGACTTGTTTGATGGAATCAGATGCATCTGGGAAGATTCAATTAAAATGCCGTTGCCTTTCTTAACTACTTCTCATCGCTCGCATGTCTCCTGCCAGTCTTTTAAAGTGATTACACACAATTATTTCAATTAGATGTCAGGAAGTAGTGCCATCATCATCAGACAGTAATCAGGTTGTGGTGGAGCAGTGGGAGACAGAAAGCGACAGCTCCTCTCATTCTCTTTCATTAAAGATGGAGAACATTGCTGAGCGTATTTGCTTCTCTTTTTTATGTTCCTACCATTTTTCACAATGTGGCACACTTTTAGAAACGCAGAAAAAGACACTTTTGTACCCCCTGCAAGCTGTTCTCATCTCTGTTAATGAATGAAATCCATTTCTGGATCTCTTTCTGAGAGACAGCTGAAGATGAGGGATTGAGTGAGACACAAAGGAAGAGCAGGCCTCCTGTTGTCTCCTGGACAGAGTCAAATAGAGCGGGAACAGAAAGGGAGATTATACAGACTGCCTTCTGGCTGTACTTTACAGTAGGGAGCAGTTATAATAATATCTGAATGAATTATTGTCTTTGATGTGAATTTCAAATGCAAATCAAATTGATGCTGACATAAAGAATGACACTTGAATAGTATGATTCACTTCCTGTTTTGTTTTTTGCCCTGCTACTACGCCATTCTTTAAACAAGTCTTTTTTCTTCCCTTTCTCCCTTTGTTTTTTCAATCTTTCCTACTCTCTTTCCATGTAAAACAAAGTATGCATAATCAATTATAATTGCGAAATGGAAGTTAACGTTCAGGAAGAATGGGAACAAATCCAAGGACTTTCTTTATGTTCTCACATGCTGATCAGCAGGAGTTCATGAGTTGAGCTGGATGTGATGGGTTACGGTGGTCTGTGTTTCTGTTGGAGCTCCTGTATACTGTCCTTGAGGAGCAGAATATGCTATAGGAGCTCCCATGGGACTGAGGTATGGTAACAGAGCTAGCGCAGGAGCTGCCGGGGCTCTGTGTTGTGATAACAGAGGCTTTGCAGGAGGAGACACACACAGCATAATGAACAACCCACCACCCACTGCAGCACGCGCTGCACACACAAACACACATTTACACACGTGCACACTCACATACAAACTCAGGAACACACGTGCGTTCACATAGAGTGCATGTTCTTTTACTATCCAAGCTTTCTCTTGTTGTGTTATTTTCTCACAACATCATAATCTACATCACATGCACACATGAAAGTGCACACACACTATTATGAGGCGGCCCAGCCCTCTGCAGCACATGCTTGGTTGCATAGCCGAGGCCACGCTGACTGCATGTCTTACAGCAGCATCAGTATGCTACGAGCATGGTCCTGTGTCTACACCACTCTCCTCTCCCTCCCTTTGTCCACTTCTCCTTTATGCCTCCCTCTCAGTTCTCTGTCTTTCCTCCATCACTCTCTCCATGCTAACTTGGCTCTGGTAGGGCCTCCATTCCTGATCTCTCCCTCTTTTAGTGTAAAACAAAGCCAGATTTGGGCTAGTTATTACTACAGAGCTGTTTGTGTATTCATCTCTTTACTATTCAGCATCCTTATCTTTGAAATGTGTGTGTTTTCCTGTTCTCCCTCATATTCCGCTTGTCCCTTCACTTCATCTCTCCCTGGTCTTCCTCCTTCACCACGTCTTTGCGTCACTGCTGGCTGGGCTTTTGGGTTTTTGAGTCCAAGTGGGGAGCAGCATGCAAGGCTAATTATACCGTTAGGATCCAGCCATATTGGCTAATGTTGTTTTTCTGCTTCTTCTCTCTGTTGTATTCTAACCAGGGGACGGACCCATTAATTGCCCTGCTGATGGCTGTCATCATCCACACCCCTCTATGTCCGACGCAGAGGGGTAGAGTGTGTGTGTGTGTGTGTGTGTGTGTGTGTGTGTGTGTGTGTGTGTATGTGTATGTGTATGTGTGTGTGTGTGTGTGTGTGTGTGTGTGTGTTTGTGTGTGTATGTGAGTCTCAGCGGGTGTCTGATGGGAGGGTGCTCAAGTGTGGAGGACTCATCATGGGTTATTAGGAGCATGCAGGGGGGCCATCAAGCGTGAGAGATGGAGAGATAGAGGTGGCAGAGAGATGAAGAGAGAGAGAAAGATGGTTAAGAGAGAATAATTCCTAAAGCAATGTAGTGCTGCTCCCTTTGAAAAAGACTCATTGAGTTTCCTCTCCTATCCCCTTGCTCCTCTATATGTGTTTTTGGCATTCTGGATAAACTTTTGTTGTCATAAACCATATATTTGAGACACTGAACTTCATTGGGTTTTTCCATGAGACAGCTTTTGAGGGTAATGGTCAAAATCAAATCAGCAGAGGCCGATATATCCTGACCTTTACTCTATATTGTGAGTCAAGTTCTTAGAATGCAGTCCTACACTTCCCATAATGCAACTCTACTCACCCTTCTTGCCTAGATAACACCCACATCTTTCAAACTCCACACCTTGTGGGTATTGCAGGCTTTCTGTTATAAATTTGTCCAAGCCAAATGTAAGATAACTCTGCTGACATCATTTTCGGTCATTTTCTCAGGTGTTGGAAAGCTCCTTGCCAAACCACAGATGACAGTATACAACTGTTTCCACCGGCTCAGCAGTACCACCCATGGCTGGTAAATTGACTGTGACATTAAAAAACATGGTGGCGTGCTCCTTTAAAGTAAATGTATTTTCTGTCACAGAAACGTTTGTGGGATTAAAGAGTGGTGTCATGTGGCATTTAGTGACAGGACAGATCATTACACTCTGACACACACTATATACAGTACACTCACTGGTCTCTCATTGGCCACTGTTAATATCCTGCGACGCACATGAAGGCAGATAAGGATAAAGGATAAGAATCTAGACAGCCTTGTACGCCATGATTAATTCATTTCATATTCTGCTCGCCTAGAATGAATGTGCAGTTAATATTTAATATTCCTGTGCTTTTTTACATGATTGCAACATGATTATGAGAGGGACACATAGGGGGGCGTGCATATTTGGGAGGTGAGAGAGGGAGGTGAGAGAGAGGGCAAGAGAGAGAGCCAGTGTGAAAGGGAGAAATCACACGTTTTGTCAATTGTATTGTTAATACAGTTTGTGCTTACCAGTAGTGCTAATATGACCCAAGTATTTGAAATTGAAAACAAAAGGAGATTGAAAGGGACAATTAGGACAGGAGACGACTGGTGAAGGGGAGGATGGGGAGGAGAGAGACAGCCGCAGCATTACCATATGTAGTTCAATGTGGGGGGTGAAATGTGTGCTGACACAGTTTGTTGTTGTGCATCTAACCAGCACAAGAATAAACACAGAGTGCACCTCTAGCTTTATTTTTATGCTGTATGGAACGAGAATAATTTTTTTCATTTATGAAACACAACAGTGAACAACTACATAGTGTTTGCAGTATATACATTAATCTCTCCCCTCTGGAAACAGGCGGCATGAAGCAAAAATATATATAGTAACAGGGAGAAAGAAAAGAGAGAGAGAGAGAGAGGGGGGGGGGGGAGTAATATCACATGATAATACAATCCTTAAAATGTTATTATTGTTCATAATTGGAGCCTTTAATAAGCCTCCTGTGAGGTCATGGTGTATTAATGATGTGTATTACAATAATTCACCAGATTCACAAAGAAATGGAGACTTTGGATAAGCTTCCATGCTATTGCACTAAAACAGCCCTCCCACACACACACACATACACTTTGTGCCATTATGTGGTAATAAGGATAAACGTAAATGTCTCTGACGTTGAGAGGGATCTTATGGTTGCAGAGACTGGCAGTGGAGCTGACTCGCACACATCTCAAATCTCCACAATGTGTTGCTTGTGGCCCAGGGGGTCAAAAACAAGCTGATTGGTTGATCCAGCTTTTTTTTTTTTTTTAAACGAGGTAGAAATTAAACACTGGAACTGAACTGGTTACTTAAACTTACAAGTTTAAAACAGCCACCACAACTTCTCCAAATGACTCCAAACCTATGTTCGCAGACAGAGAGGCATGCTCCTGTCCTTATACACACTTCAGATAGTGTCATATTGTAGTAGTATTGTGAAGGTAATGTAAAGTAAGAGCTATAGGACTGATGGAGATGTTAATTGGAGGCCAGGCTAGTCATCCCCACCTTCTGACCCATTTCCACCCCTCCCATCATCCCCCTCTACATCGCCCCTTATCTGTCATTCACAGTCCCACCACTGCTAATGAGCTTATTCTGAGCCATACATTATGTCTGCAGCTGTACCCTTTTCTCCATACAGTGCAGCTCCAGCACCAGAAAGAGAGAGATGGCTGTTCATTCCCACCATGTCTCCAATTAGATGCCCTTCTATTCATCCTTCTGTCATTTCTCTCTTCTCTCTATCCTCTTGTTTCTCTCGTCTGCCGGTGTTGGAGGCAGGTTGTAAAACAGGCTGCCTTACCAATGGAGATGAGCCCCGCGGTCACCGTAGTTTTGTTACTGAGGCAGAGTCACATTAGCCTCTTTAGTCAGCATGTGTGGGTGCATGCGTGTGGCCCTGTGTGTGTGTGTGTGTGTGTGTGTGTGTGTGTGTGTGTGTGTGTGTGTGTGTGTGTGTGTGTGTGTGTGTTTGTGTGTGTGTGTGTGTGTGTGCGTGCTTATGTGTGTTTTGAGGCTGTGTGACATTAGCCTCGCAGTCACAGGTAATGATCTCATCTCCCCGCTGGTGACTAGAGGCATACAAAGAGAATTACACACACACACACACACACACACACACACACACACGAGTGAGAGGGAAAGATGGGGAGCAGAGATTGGTATTGTAATGGTACTCTAATGGGCTACCTGACAAGTGCTTTTTCTTAATGCTGTGCCTCCCCCCCTCCCTGTTTCTCCCTTTCTCCAGGTGAATTTTCCTTCTTTGAGGAGCACTGATATGGACACCAGGTGTGGTGACGTAAAGGTATGTATTAAACTCTTATAGCACACGATTGTGTGCATCAAACTCACACACATCTTTTGAAGATTGCTGTCCTGTCATTACATCGTAACCTGCTATTGAATCTATCTTTTGTTCAGCTGATGTTGATCTAAATATGTGTCTGTGTACCATATAGTGGATTATATTTCCCCTCTATGTCTGTGTGATTTTTACGCACTATATAGTGCCCCAAAAAATTCCCATTATGGATTTAATAAAGAACTTTGTGCTAACAATCACACAGTAAACGTTTTACATTTTGATGACTCAAAGTGATAATGATTGCCAAAACAAACTAGGGGATGCTGAGGCAACACACAGATTTGGTATGGTGTTGGGAGACCACAACATGGTAACAGATATTTTTTCTTTCCTGAATCCTATAGCCTACACCTACATCTGATATGGTTTCAATTTGACAAACCAAACTTGCTATTAGATTCAACAATTGTTTAGCTTGAATCCTGCAGCCAATCCAACTGCTATCAGATCAGTTCTCTTTTTTTTTTTTTTGGCTCTGAGCAGCCTCTCCACCCCACAGACACCCCACAGACACACTATGATGCTCTTATATTCCTGGCTCTCTATTTTTCTATTTATACCCACTGAGATGAGCAATGAGCCCCAGGCAGCCCTCACTCACCAACCCAAGCAGACATAGACACAGAAACACACTTTCGCTCACAAACACACACACACACACACACACACACACACACACACACACACAAAAAGACACACACACATGCTGTGAGTTAAGGCTGCGGTAGAGGTTAGAGGGTTTCATCAACAGTGTGTCTGACCAGATGAACTAATGTAATACAGTTAGCTATATTGTCAAGCCTCAGAAAGTACACTGGAGTTCCCGCTGTGTCCTTGCTTTCAGCCTTGTGTTCGGGCATTCTGCTGCACGGCCTTAAATAGAAAATCCAATCTAAAAACCAACAACGTATATTACTCATTCTTGGTTTGTAAACATGAAAATGCAGTAAACAAAAGAGTCAAGACTGTCTTGGCAGTGTGACCAAGAGAGACATCCTGAAGCTACACTGTGACTGTAATTGTGGTGAGTTTATGATTTTATGGCTATGGGCTTTTCAGTTGGTAGCTGTTATCAAATACAAAATTAAGTCATTTTAGAATGTAAAAGCTTAATAAGTTTTATATGAATCCATAAAGTCACAACTTTTTTCCTGAATCATTGCCAAAGAAGCAGCACTAGAGAGAGAGAGTGTGCAGATCAATGCCAATATCTGTTCTGAGGTGGATTTTTAAGCTTTAATCACCTCCAGCAATCAAAAAACAATTAGCAGTGATCCATTACCTTGCTTGTTTTTTTGTGACCTCAACTAAAAGGTGAGTTTATCGCATTGAATACATGCCTGCACTCGTAGACCTGCACATAGCCAGACACCGAGGCTAGCACACACAGAGGGAGAGAAGGAGAGCTGGAGTACTACTGTGTAACTGAACCAGTTAAAAATGAATGAAGACAACATTCATAAGAAACAGCCAGTCTTGCATTATTTACAATATTGAGAATACGCTGAAACTATGTCAGCTTGACTTGTTCCACCTCCTCTACCCTCTTTTTTCCCTTTCACCTCCTCCCAGTACTACCATCAGCCCACCTCTCCTCCCACCCCCCTCTCATTGAGTGATTCACAGAGTTTACCAGAGGTTGAGCAGGGTCAGTATCATAACTCTTCAGTCCAGTGGAGCAGAATGTAGTCAGGAGGAACATAGTGTACAGATCCTCTTATCAACTCTTCAACTCACTCTGATGTATGACTTTTGTATTTGATGGACACTTTTCTGATATACAGACATTTCTCCATAGATAAGTGTAGAGGTACTGACTGGCTGTAGTGATGATTTATCTCTGGGAGCATGAGGGTTGATCTTAAAGCTGGGCTCTGAGACCTTTACATATAAATTAACATCTGTTACATTCAAGCCAAACAAATTCATTCAATGCTGGTTAAGCTATCCCCGCCAGGTAAAAGTCTCTGTATTTCTCAAATACCAGAGTTTTTACAACTGGGGTCTGTGGCGATATTCCAGTGCACCAGTAGTGATGCGTTTTACTTCAGCCAGCCATGATTGGTTTGCCAGAGCTGAAGGAGGGAGCAACTATAGCGATAAATTAGGCTACTGCAACTAAGCGTAGGAGCCAAAAACCATGAAGCATCCAAGAAAACTGTCTTATGCTCCAGATAAAAAAGAAACTCAGCATTCAGAGGAAGGGAAACAATATAAACAATAGCTTCTCCTTATTGCATAGTTGAAAGTGCACAATTTCTAATCATATCTTTTTCACCTCTATGAAATGATAGGGTGCAGTGGATTATGCAGTAATAGAGGATGAATAAATGTCTCTGTGATTGTACAGGTCCAAAGTTTAAATCCATTTAGTCCATGGCCGTTGCATGATTGATACTCTTGTACAATCAGGTAATACCTTGCTTTAGTTTTATTACAGGTCGCTCAATCCATTCTTGTATCCTATGACGTGTTTGAAATGATATCTAAGTCCTTCATAAATAAAAAATGCAAGAACAGGGAGTAGAGAAAAATACATGAAATCTACATCATAGATCTTTCTCTGGAGTGTGGATGGTGACTTTTTCGATGAGATAAGGCGGGTCCAAGCTTCATCACAGGAACAATGTTTCCTGCCCAAACAACACGATTATCTAGAGTACAGAGGCTATTGAACCAGCTGGGAATCAGTCTGTCAAGATGGCACTGGATCATTGTTCTCTACAAGGATTAGTTTTGTGTTCTTAGATTTTAGAAATGCCTTGCAGTAGTCAAGTTTCCATCCAAATGTAGCTCAAATTTTCTCAAATATCCAGAAAACTGGCAAATAATAAATGGGCTTTTTTCATTCACTATTGTTATGTGACTATTAGGAGTTGATAAACAACTGGTTGTACTAACACTCATTCGGGAGCCATTAACTGTTGAATAAGAGAGTACAACGAGATGACATAATTAAAGAGCGGCAGTCAAATCTCAAACAGTGGAGAACCATGTAGAAAGCATGTTAGAAATACGCCAGTTATGTTTATTTGTGTATTAATTTGAGTTACAGCCTAATCGGTCCATACAGATCTTCTTAGTAATGAGTCACGTGTTTCATGTAGGATTTAGAATGCCCATGTTTTATGTGTCAGTAGTTTTTAGTTCTTGTAATTGCCGAATCCCCTTCAGCTCCATGGGGTCTGCTCTGCCACTGAACCTGTATTCTGACCACTGTGTGGAAGAGAAAGAGGAGAATGTGCTTAATTGGAGACACATTGTGTAGTGACCACATGTCCTAGTTTGTGTCTTCTCTAAGGTTTTGGCGCAGAAATAAGTAACAGAAGTCTGTTTGTGTATGGACAATGTATATGTAGATAGTAACCTACAGAGACTGTAGAACAGCTGACAGACAGCTGTAGGTGACTGGCGGGAAGGAGGGACCTACAAATAATTGTCATTCAAGAATTACATTTTTAATCATTTTATGTAATATTTTAACAAACACATCTCCTTAGGTAACATTAAATGTTTAATTTTTAAGTCATTTATACTGTTTTCACTGTTTAATCAAGCTGTAGTTTATTCCACCTCACTGCAAACTTGTTTTCCTCTTGTAACGGCACCAGCTACTGCAAAACTACAAAAATAATTTAAAATATATATAAGTGAAGCAAAGCTACAAAACTGTCCCTGGGAAACAAAAACTCGAGGAAAGTCAGTGCTTCATTGAAAATGTCTTTCTTGAAAAAGAAATCAACAGTTGCTAATGTCGCTGCTAATGTTATCACCACTGCCTCCTGTCACCTCCAGTAAGACCCTGTTAATTTCTTTCTGCTAATAACTTCCTTTAATTACTTCTCAGACATAAATTATGTTCCTATTATGACACATGTACACATTCATAAAATACTTTGGAATAACTTTAGAATAATTTATTTATATGATTGCTTTGTCTCTTTTTTTAAACTAACAATCAATTGTCTTTTCTATGTCACACACCAAAACTTGCTATGGGTACAACTTGCATGTGGCAGTTATTCATTATAGTTTATGTAAAACCACTGAATGGGGATCAATATATCATCACATTTCGATTAAACTATTAAAAAGCAGCGCTGCAGAGACATGTGTGATCCAGTTGGTGTTTTTTAGAGTGGTGCAGGCTGTCAGGGCTGATGGAGTACAATGAGTTCAGACTGGCAGCAGGGCTCACAGCGACGCTCACACTGAGGTGGGATTAGATAGATACCCTTTACTTCCCCTCTGTTCTAAGGGGAAACTGTGTGATGTGTGTATGTGCATTTTCCCGTGTCTGCATATGCATGAAACGTGTTAATGAAATATGATGGAATATGATGGATCCTCCCAGAGGCAAAAGCCCTCAAAGTTACACATCCTGATGAAAGCATAAACATGTGTGACATTTCAACAGAGCACATCTTTATATCTAACCCCCTGCGGGTTAAAACACACACACACACACACACACACACACACACACACACACACACACACACACACACACACACATATTCATACATACACACTGGCTCCCCCTCCCCGCTATCTTAACAAAAGACACACAAGTCAACCTGTCACCAGATTTAAGTTGTGATCATCTTCAGGAGTCTCCCTTTCTGTTTCTGTCTCTTTTTCTTTTGTATGAGAATGCACTAAGAATGGCCTGTCAAAATCCAACTCAAAGCTCACTTCTCTGCATGTGTGTGCACATACAGTTTTTCGATTCAATATATATTCTCTCTCATAAACCATCTCTCCTCATCTCAACATGCTCTTTAACTCTCTTCACATCTGCCAGGCACTTGATATCCTGATACATCTGAGTTACTGAAGAGCGGCATGCTTTGATAGCTACAGTTATGCTGTGATATTTCGTCTTTGGAGGGGGGGTCCAGCTTCATAGCTCTGTTTCTGATTTGCCTTCCCCCTCTCTC